CAGAAACGTCCAGAAAACATGTTTTTGAGGTTTCGTAAATTTTGACCTATTGCAATACTTTCCCCTTTCACACTAGGTGTGTGCGGAAAAGTAAAAATGCCATTTATTCCAGCATTTTGTGACTTTTGAAGCGAAAAAAGCGTGATGAATGAAGAAGATGTTTCTAAAATCATATGTACCATCATTTCTAGGGTAATTTTTGGCGCTGAATTCAAATCTGCCATTTAAACTACTCTATTTTTATAAAATCAGCGCCCTAAAAATTAAATTTGAATGAACAACTAAACAAGACTTTCATAGACGAAACATTTGATGTTCTTTGCATCAGTGTAGTCCAAATTCAAACATTTAAACGAGACTTGAAATAATTTTTAATATTCTATATTGTTTCAGTTTTCATTCAAATTTCATCAATTCTAATTTTTCAATCAAAATGAATTGATTAAAATTATTAAAATTAGGTTTAAAAGTTTGAATTTGGACTACATTGATGCAAACCCATATAATTCATTTGCGGAGTAATTTTGACGATGGTGGGACTGTGCGGAGTTTGACGAAGATGACATGCAAACTCTGTGTGTACGAGGGTAACAGCACTTCTATGTGTATCATTCTTACACAGATGATTAGTAACTTAGCTGTGTATACGGCTACTAAGATGTTCGTTTGGACAAAATAAGTCTATGAACAGCAAAGAATGCTGTTGCACTCGTACACACAGCATTTGCATGCTATCCCCGCCGAACTCCGCACAGTCCCGCCATCGAAAAAATTACTCCGCAAATGAGTTATATGGGAATAAACCTAGGGGTTTGCATGTATTTTTATTGGATGATATTTGCGTATTACGTAGGCGACTATTTAAGTTTCTTCAATATGTATGTTTTAGTATTGCCCGATGCAAACCATTGTCATATTCGTTAAGTTTAACATTTTGTAGCATAAACGTTCTCAGAACGTTTTGTCATTCGATCTTTATTTGTATTGTTTACCGTAACATGTAAATTGCGTCTCAGCCAAAAAATGAATTTTACTCGTGAAAATTTTCGAGCGATTATTTTTTTCCACTTTCGATTGGGTGTATCACAACAACAGTGTTTTGATCAACTTCATTTGGCTTTTGGCGATGAAGTACCAAGTCTTCGGACAATTTATAATTGGTACAACGAATTCAAGCGCGGTCGCCTATCGCTCATCGACGAGTTCCGCGAAGGTCGTCCAAAATCAGTTGTTGTACCAGAAAACATCGATGCTGTCAGAAATATGATAATGGAAGATCGTCATGTAACATATCACGAGATTGAGGCATCCCTGGGCATTAGTGCGACCAGCGTATTTAAGATTTTACATGAACATTTAGCTGTCAGAAAGATTTGCTCTCGTTGGATACCACATAATTTGACAATCGCTCAAAAAAAGGCTCGTGTCGATTGGTGTAAACAAATGCTCAAGAAATTCAATCGTGGTGTTTCAAAATCCGTGTATTTTATCGTCACTGGTGGCGAATCATGGTTCTACGCGTATGAGCCCGAAACTAAACAGCAGTCGACTGTATGGGTCTTTCAAAGTGAAGATAACCCAACAAAAGTTGTTCGAGCTCGAAGTGTTGCGAAGCAAAGGGTCGCCTGTTTTTTCGCGATAAGTGGTCATGTGGCAACAGTTCCACTAGAGGCTCGTAAGACCGTCAATTCTGATTGGTACACCATCATTTGTTTGCCCGAAGTGTTTGGTGAAATAAGAAAAAACAACCGCCGTCGCAAAATAATTCTTCATCATGATAATGCGAGCTCTCACACATCTCATCAAACAGTCGATTATTTGACCGGTCAAAAGATCGATTTAATGGGTCATCCGCCGTCCAGTCCTGATTTGGCACCCAACGATTTCTTTTTATTCCCGAGCGTGAAGAATAAACTGCGTGGTCAACGATTTTCATCGCCCGAAGAAGCAGTTGATGCGTTCAAAACACACGTTTTGGAGATATCACTTTCGGAGTGGCATGAATGCTATGACAAATGGTTCGAGCGAATGCAAAAGTGTATTGATCATCATGGCGAATATTTTGAAAAACAATAAAACCATTTTCGATGAAACCCCATTGTCTTATATGTGTTTTTGAAAAAACTTAAATAGTGACCCTCGTATCATTGCGTATCGGTGAAATATTGGCATATCGGTAAAAGATCGGCATATTTGTAAAATATCGTTAATATTCGGGTATTTTTTGATAATTAATTGTTCTGGAAGTGGGTTTTGGTGGATCCTCTGGATGGACCAGACCATGGTTTGACAATGCCCTGACCCATCCTGAGGGTCCACTTCCAGACCTGGGAGCGGTTCTGAACGATCCTTAGGATCCACCAAAGCCCACTTCCAGAACAAAGACACTTCACATATCGGCGAATATCGGTGGATTTTTGGCACAAAATAGTGAAATCGGTAAAGATTTGCATGATTTGTAAAAATTTGTATTATTTGTTATACTGTTGTTTATTCGTCGGATTCGTGAAAGAAAATCTTACATGAAAACCCCTAGGAATAAACATCAAATGTTTCGTATATGAAAGTCTTGTTTAGTTGTTCATTCAAATTTAATTTTTAGGGCGCTGATTTTATGAAAATAGAGTAATTTAAACGGCAGATTTGAATTCAGCGCCAAAAATTACCCTAGAAATGATGGTACATATGATTCCAGAAACATCTTCTTCATTCATCACGCTTTTTTCGCTTCAAAAGTCACAAAATGCAGGAAAAAATGCCATTTTCAAAAAATAATTTATCATTCATTATGGTTTGAATAGTCATTTCAAGGGTTTTTGGGGCCGCTGAGTCCGAATCAAGCCTTGAAAATGAGCTAACAATTGCAAGAACGAACATTTCGATACATTTCTTTGATTTTTTGGTCAAAAATCACGTTTTTTTATTGATAGTTGAATTTAGAGTATTTTTAATGCCAGATTCGGATTCAGCATCCAAAATTACCCTAGAAATGTCAGTACAAATGATCTTTTTTATACAGTTTTTTTATCACTTTCAAATTTTATATTTTCATATTTTATAATTTGGGTAAAAAACTGTTTGTCAATTTTGGCACAGATAAATTTGAAAATTTATATATGCTCTAGTGGAGAAAAAGTCTTGAAATTACATGTATTTTACGAATTTCGCTGAGCAAGACCTTCCAAAAATTCTTCCATACAAATTGACAGGCCCTAATCTATATATATTTAAACTTTTAAATATTTTCCATTTGCGGTGTACTGAGCACCCAGAACGAATGTTTATTGCTGAACGACTTTATTAGGCTGAATGATTTTAATTAGTACTAAAATACTGACCAATATTAAAACATGACCAAAAGTTCCAAAAAAGGCGTAGGTTTATGATTACTGGTTTTTCCCTCTATTTTCCCACATCTCAAAAATAAAACACTATACATGCATCATTCACAGGTAAATATAGTTGTAAATAAAAAAAAAAATTGAAAAAAACAAAGGTTTGGGATTTATTTTTTAATTCTTCCACATTTACAATGTTATTTTCAAAAAAATATTTTTTATGCGAATTACCAAATTTGATCAAGAAATAATAACGAAATGAAGCGTCGCGTTTTCCAATATCTTTTCATTTGGCTAAAATATTCACACGTCTGCGCCCAACCCTAGGCCCACCAATAGGCCCACCAATAGACCCACCACTAGGACCACCATCATCACAATAAATCCAATCATTAATAATGAAAGTAATAAGAATCCGAATATAGATGCAAAAATGGATAAAATGAAACCAGCAAATATCTTTGAAAACTCTTCAGCCAACTCATCAGTAATTTTCTCATCATGTGTATCATTCTTACTCGATACTGAACTAGTAAAATTCTCTGCAAACTCTTCTTCAGACAACTGAGTAAATTTCTCACAATTTCTATCTTTCTTATTCGATACTGATATAAATGACTGAAAAACTAATACGAGCCAGACATTTATCGATTTAGTATGTAGAATTGCATGCACTGGTGAATAGAATCGTTAAAGGTCCTAAAAGTAGCAAAAATACAACTGACTTCCACATATTAGATACAATTTCTTTCTGAAACAAATGACACGAATCATCAACGAACAAAAGTGGACTCACTTATATACTTTGCTGTAAGGTCATAGACAAACAAATCAAATAAATTAAAGAGAACACAGCTGTGAAAAGCTAATGCACAAACACCAAATGTAAATTAAGCGATATTTTTTGTAAACACACATTGCTTTTTTAATTTTTGAATATACTTATCATGATCAATTGTGACCAATACTTGATATGATTTTAAAAAAAAACGGCCTTGATTCTTCCAAATCAGGTGCAATTTTCTTAAATAAATTTACCTTAATTTACGATCTAGTTCAGTTCAGACTTTTTATCGAACAAACAATATGCATATCACTTGCATAGAATTTCAGTTTTCACTGTGGTAGTACGAACAATTCGAAAAAGCCAACATTTAATGTCGAAATGCTCAAATATGAATCGCCTTATAAAGTTGATAACACTTGAACTGTGACAAATTGATAGTATAAGAAATCTACTAAAAATGTGTCTTTACAACCGAACAAATTAGTATGACATCATCTGTTGTCTGTATTGGAATCAATAGTGAAGAACAAAGTGATTTTGAATTAGTTTCTAATGGCTTCCAAAAATGGACAATTTTTAAGATTTTTGTGTAAGTGAAAGCGGAAATCTTTTTCTTGAAGTTTAAAAAATATACATATAACAAATAACATTCATTAAATTTCAGACATAATTGATTAATCTTGATTAAAAATGCGTATACTTGTGCAATATATATTTTTATTGTCACTAATAATGAATAATCATCAAGATCAAATCCAGTGAAATGTTATCAAAAGCTACTACAATTGATTTAGAAGAAATTGAAAATATGACATCAAAAGAGTGTAATTTTACTCAACGGGCCCGAAAAGTTATATCAAATGACACGAAATCAACTTTGATCGATCTTCACAATTTTGAATTCCTTATTGAACGCGATACGTGCCATGAAGTGAAACCAACTTTGTTAATCATGATAGTTTCTGCTACGAATCATTTTCTCTTGGGCTAAAAAAAGTGAAGACGTCGCTGTGATATTTTTGCTAGGTTCGTCTGCCCAGCACAATGAAGTGATCAAAAAAGAAAACGAAGAATTTGGAGATATTTTACAGGGCAATTTTGAGGATACTTATAGAAATTTAACCTACAAGCATACAATGGCACTCAAATGGATGACTTATTATTGTCCAGGTTGGATTTTTTTTGTAATTCTAATAATGAAAATATGTTTTTGGAAAGAAGATTTTACTTAAATATTTCTATGTAGATCAAGTAAAATACATTCTGAAGGTCGATGATGATGTTTATATAAACGAAGATAAAGTTTTGAACTTGTTGAAAAACTCTTACGCAGATCTACTTATGGATTTAATGAAGCGCGTCGAGCTGTACTCAGCACAGTTCAACAGCACAAACCAAACAAGATAAAAAAGTGCATGTCATTTATGTCCCACTAAAATCAATCGAAAGACGCGAACATAGTGCAGCAAATGTATGAAAAATGTTTGTGGAGAACATTCCGAAAAAATTGCGATGTGTACGAACTGCACCAAAAAGCGACCGTATGAAACTGCATCATCAGATTCCAATTAATTTTGACATAAATTATTTATTTTCATCCTTTTTTCAACAAAAAAAGAAATATAATTTTGTTCATTTCATAGACTTTTCATACATTTTGTATGAGCGGACCGACTATATCCGTTAAAGTTTTTTTTCACTCTATACCTAGGAGGGTTAATAACCATAGCTTTTTAGCAGGGCCATTCCAATTGAGAGACAGATAAATCGAAGGACTTCACAATTATGTTGAGAAAAAGAAAAAAGCAGAAAAAAGTTCATAAATGATTTTTAAAATATATTATTTCTACCACACTGAATTCGTCAAATTAAGCCCATCTCGAAATAATGAAAAATGCGGATGTTGTTTTTTTCTTGTTCTAATCTTTATTTGGACTATTAAGATTTTTTAAAAGTACATATATTAGAATATTCATGAATATTATGATGAAAACTTTTAATGTATATAGTATCTTCATTTGTTTTTTGTTCTTTGTTTGTTTATAAATAAATCGTGTACATATAATTTCCATTTTTTTTTGTTTTAGTTTTTTTTTTTTAATTTATTATTCAAATGCATGTTTATTAAATGTTATTTAGTGGTTTGTTGCTTGATGATGAATGAATATGCGTTGATCTTCGCTCACCATCGAAAAGCGGAGCGCTTTACTCTCACGGTAATGCATGTGTTTTGTTTGTATTGTGTGCTTTTGTTCAAAAAATGTAAATAATTTTTTGTTCTTCAAAGAATTCATCGTATGACATCATTTAGTTATTCGATTGAAATGATTGGTAGAAAAAGAGATTCGCAATGCACATTTAAGACAGAGAGAAAAAAAAAGAGTTGCGATTGGTGCGCGCACAGTATACAATAACACTATACGCAATTGGCTTTCATTATTTCGGTTTTTCCCTCTCATCTAACTTATAAATCGAATGTCTTATGTATTCCAAGTAGTAAATTTCCTTACATTTTATTGTATGAAATGAACGCTGTGCTTCTTGAAATGCTCTAATACGCCATTTGTTTATATATTTTTTTTTATTAAATCAAATTTCTCCGGGCAAAAGTTCATCTATCATTCCACGTTCAAAATGTTCAGTTCAAATGTTCAATGAATGAAAAAGACAAATGTTAGTTGATCGAAATGACAATTCACGCGTCTGGTTTACTATGTGTTTTCGTTTTATCTGCTAACTTTTACATCGTGTATATTCTTTTTTTAAATTTCATATCGTCTGTATTCTTGCGCACACATTAAATGTCAAATCTTTCTTTCTTCTGACAACAAAAGAAATTAATCGAAATGGGATTTTGCCATTTAATGTTTTACCTAAATTTCTCTATACTTAAATCGTGTGTAGTACAAATCTGTATCGATATTCTTATTAAATTCATGTTAATATGAATGTTTTGTTGTTGTAACTGTTTCATTTTCATTTAAATAATATTTGTTTTGTTTTTTCTCGCGATGGTTTTCGCTAGAGTCCCATGTGTGATTGCAACGTTTTATTTTTGTTTTTTAAGCTATTGTATATGAAAATCTTTCATTTGTTTTTTTTTTGTTACTTCCATTTATAATTTCATGTGTTATAAATTTCGATATAAACCTTTTTGTTTGTTTGTTGTAAATGCATTTAGCGATTATGGTCTCTCAGTGGGTGTAGATTTTTGTTGATTTCATTTTGTCTGGTTCCTTTTTATTCATAATTATTTGGTTGTGAGTGTGTGTCTCTGTGTATATATTTTTTTTGTAATTATTTTATATGAGTGAGAGATAAAAGATAGAGGTGATAGACAGTTTCGACATTAGGTACATTTTACTCTGCATGAGTGGTGTGTATGTATGTGAGTGTGTGAGCGAAATATCAATAGATTTGTTTTTAAATTTTCTCTTCGTTTTCATTATATGATTCGCAAAAAACTTGAAATGGACCATTGGACTTAGGTGGAAATCGTTTCTCTTCCAAATTTTGTTTTACTCTATATGTATTCAGAAGAACCCGAGCTTAAAAGTTGGACAAACTGTTTTCAATCTGTAAAAAACAGAAAATGTCGATAGAAAAATAATTCAGGTTGTTCGGTGTGTGTGTTTGTGTATGTGCTGAAGATTCAGCTGATATATCTATATATATTTATATACTTTGTGCTAATTTTTATATGCTTTCCATTTGCCTATGAAATTTATCGTGTTTTTTTTTCCAGGCTGTGTGTTCTGTATAATTTCAGCAGGCACTGCTATTTCTAGCACGATAGCTATGCTCTGCCTAAGTTTGACGCATTGCATACCGCATTGAAATCG